GGACTTATATTGGGGGAGCAGGGGTACTGTGGGGATTCCTTTCCATCTCAATTTTACTGAGAAAACCTGATTGGCCTATGGAAGAACTGTGTTAGATCTTGCCCCATACATACCCAGACATATTTAAGAATCTTAAAATGCTTTTTTAAAACATGGGTACATTATTCAATGTATTTCTAAAATCCTGGCTGTATTTTTGGGGAACAAACAAAACAATTTAAATAGTCCCTACACTTCTTTCAGATCACTAAAGAAAGAAAGGGATGGGGGTGTCTTCCATCAATAGACTTGTTGTATTAACTATGGCTACAAACTTTTTTTTCCACCTCAGAGTTTGACTTTCAACAATACATCGTTAACTTGTTTTTCCTTCTTGTTCCGCAGTATCTGATGGAACGGGGAAGACATGGCACACAACCCTTCCCATCACCTGAGCAAAAACATGTAACAGCTTAATTGTAAGTATTTGTTCATGCCCATTGCATCTGGAATACTGCAGCTCAGTATTCTAATGGTACATATTATAATGCCTAATCTAGTGTTATGCATCAGAACCAGGCAAAAATCAGGAGAGGAAAGGGCCTTCACTGATCACTAGTTTTAAACTGGAAAGTTAATGACTATCATTTAAGCCAACTTATTAGTCTGCCATGCTGTGAAGAAATAGCATTAATAGAGGTACTTTGTGTGAAAATAACAGCAGGTAAGGCTTGGGAATGGGGAAAAAATAGTAGCTGGCGAAGGAAACTGTGGTAGCTATTGCTACCTTTGACAAAGATTAAAGAAGTCACACAATGCTCTCACACAATGCTCAGGATGGAATCCCAGGGCCAAACCATATGTTATTTTTGTTGCTTAGTCGTTAAGTCATGTCCAACTCTTTGTGACCCCATGGACCAGAGCATGTCAGGCCCTCCTGTCTTCCATTGTCTCCCGGAGTTGGGTCAAATTCATGTTGGCAGCTTCGATGACACTGTCCAACCATCTCATCCTCGGTCGTCCCCTTCTCCTTTTGCCTTCACACTTTCCCAACATCAGGGTCTTTTTCAGGGAGTCTTCTCTTCTCATGAGCTGGCCAAAGTATTAGAGCCTCTGCTTCAGGATCTGTCCTTCCAGTGAGCACTCAGGATTAATTTCCTTCAGAAATGATAGGTTTTTTTTCTCCTTGCAGTCCAGGGGACTCTCAAGAGTCTCCCCCAGCACCATAGTTCAAAAGCATCAATTCTTCAGCAGTCAGCCTTATTTATAGTCTAGTTCTCACTTCCATACATTGCGACTAGAATAACCATAGCTTTGACTATGCGGACTTTTGTCTGCAAGGTGATGTCTCTGCTTTTTAAGTTGCTGTCTAGGTTTGTCATCACTTTCGTCCCAAAAAGCAAGTGCCTCTTAATTTTGTGGCTGCTGTCACCATCTGCAGTGATCATGGAGCCCAAGAAAGTAAAATCTGTCACTGCCTCCATATCTTTCCCTTCTATTTGCCAGGAGGTGATGGGACCAGTGGCCATGATCGTAGTTTTTTTGATGTTGAACTTCAGACCATTTTTTGGGCTCTCCTCTTTCACCCTCATTTAGAGGTACTTTAATTCCTCCTCACTTTCTGCCATCAGAGTGGCATCACATCTGATGGAATAGTAATTAAACGTTCTAATACTATATTTTGAGACAATGTTCTCCTATATTAAATTAAAATTACAACATTAACAAATTTTGTAAATATAGTCCAACAGTTATTGGCTTCAGTTCTATGGAGTTCCATAGTTTTCTATACTGTAATGCTTTCATAGTCAAAGCTATGGTTTTTCCAGTAGCGATGTATGGAAGTGAGAGCTGGGCCATAAAGAAGGCTGACCACCAAAGAATTCATGATTTTGAACTATACTGCTAGGAGAGACTCTTGAGAGTCCCCTGGACTGCAAGGAGAACAAACCTATCCATTTTGAAGGAAATCAACCCTGAGTGCTAACTGGAAGGACAGATCCTGAATACTTTGGCCATCTCATGAGAGAGAAGACTCCCTGGAAAAGACCGTGATGTTGGGAAAGTGTGAAGGCAAGAAGGGAAGGGGCCGACAGAGAACAAGATGGTTGGACAGTGTCACCAAAGCTATCAACATGAATTTGACCCAACTCCGAGAGGCAGTGGAAGACAGGAGGGCCTGGCGTGCTCTGGTCCATGGGGTCACAAAGAGTTTGGCAGGAATGAACAACAACAACAAATACTGTGATTAATATTTCCTTCTCCACTTCTGTCTAGATAAGCGGGGTATATATATATATCTCCCGCCTTCTAGGCGGCTTCCAAATGCATACATAAAACAACATATAGATATAACACAAAAAATTATTACATTAACTAACAAATTCCTCAAGATGGAAAAAGAAAATACAGTGGTGCCTCGCTTAACGAGCGCACCGTACAACGACGAAATCGCATAGCGATCCCTTTTTTGGGATCGCTAATGCGATCGCTCAACGACGCTTAGATAGGGCGAAACTCGCTTTGCGAAGATCGGTAAGGGTTTCGCTTACCAATCTTCGCAAAACGAAGCCCCAACGATCAGCTGTTCGGCGGCCAAAATGGCCACGCGCAGTGTTTTCGCGCCCTCCCCTCGCTTAACGAGGGCGTGAAAATGGCTGCCGGCCATAGGAAGCATCGCTGAACGGTGATGTTTAATGCGTTCCAATGGTTTTTTTTTATCCGTTCAGCGATGTTTCACTATAAGGTTAATCCGGAACGGATTAACCTCGCTATGCGAGGCACCACTGTAATAAAAAATGGAGAAAAGAAAATCAAATATTAAGTGGAGGAAAGGCTTGCATTTACATCCATGTTTTTAATTGGTTTTTTAAAGATACCCAGCGTGGGGGCTGTACAAATCTCCGGAGGCAGATTGTTCCAGAGGCAAGGAGCTACCGCCGAGAAAGCCCGGTTTCTTGTTTTTTCCTTCTGGGCCTCCCTCGGCGTCAGTCTCCTCAGCCTCACCTCCTGACTCACTTGGGTGATACAGGTAGACCTTGGTGGGAGTAAGTAAGTAAGTAAATATATAAGTAAATAAATAAGTAAATAAATGTATTTAGCCTAGCATTCAGTCTGAAGAATACAATTTGCAATTCTCAAATTGGGTTTCTGCCAGTTCCGATAAACATTTCTGAAGACGGTTATTTTATCACTTCTCAATTGTCTCTTCTCCATCAAATTTGCTTATTAAAGACTGTTTTATTTTAATGTGAGCTTTTGTGGACGAATCTGAAGAAGCGGACTTATCCACAAAAGCTCACATTAAAGTACAGTAGTTAGTCTTTAAGTTGCCAGAACATTTTTTGTCTTTATTTTTCATTTTTGTTTTAAGAAAAACTTATACAGCCATCTGTCAGATACTGTATACTTTAATTTGAATTCCAAGTTAAAAACAGAGGGTTGGACTTGATGGTCTTATAGGCCCCTTCCAACTCCATTATTCCATGATGATCTTATAGCCCATCTCACCACTGTTATTAATCATATGAGGAAAGAAGTTAGTATGGGATAGTAACCAGAGTAGTAGACTAGATTGTGGGAAAACCAAGTCCTTGCTTAGGCAAGAAAGTCTCAGGATTACTTATTTTACAAATGATTCTTTCTGCATACCCATCATCCATATTTACCCCACAAAAGGTTTGTAAAGCCTCATGTCACCCAACCTTGTGTAAATCCTGTAAAGGAGCTGTGATCCAGGAAAAGTACGGTCCAAACTTCGCTGGCAAATAGCTTTCTCTTTCCCTCTGTAACTTCTGGGACAGAGCCAGCCTGCCTGGTTTTGGGAAAGCTACGTGGTCTCAGACAACCTGCTACAATTTATTTCAGTGGATGTACTTCATGTTTGATTAACTGAACTTAACCTGTGCATATTTGTCTTAGGCAAATATGCACAGGATTTTGAGGTCAGTTCCCTCTTAGCAGATCCAATAAAAAAATAGATTTTGCCAAGATTTCTGGATATGACAAGGTCCAGCGAGCAGTTTTAAGTTATCCACCTTCATACTCCAGGCTTGAGTTTACAAGAGCTGAGCAGGGCTGTTGAGAACAATACATTTTGGAGCCAGCTCATTCATAGGGTCACCATACGTTGAAGGCGACATGATGGCGCATAACACCATCATCTCCCTATCTTACCCCTATTTTGTATGGGTGCTTCAAATGGGACAGAAACTGTAAAATCGAATGTATCAAAGTTTAGACCAGGGATGGCCAAAATATAGCCCACTGGTGATGTGCATAGCTCTCCAAGGCTCTTTTTGCACCCCCAAGATTCCCCTCACCAAAAAAAAAAAAAAAAAAAAACCTGTGCAAGAAAACCCCAATTTGGAATCCACCAGAAGCAGTGGTTTTATAACAAAATGAGGATTAAGTGCCACCCCAAGCCACAAAAATAAAACCGGAAGTGGACTTTATGCAACAGTTTTGATTTTTTTCATGTTTTATTTCCCAGTGAGTCCTACGGCTGGAAAAGTGGCCACTGAACCCTTCAAAGTTGTCCACCTCTGGTTTAGAGGAATGCATAAAGATCTTGGTTATCAAACCTATCACTGAAGAGTAACAGTGCAGTATTTTCCACACAATCATGAATCTACTTTCGCGGGCAAAAATCAACATGCTTCCTTTCATGTATTTACTAGCCGCTATCATTATCACTCGCAATCATCTATCCTTCAGTGTGCAAGGGCCGGTGCCAGGCTGCGCTCCCGCCCGCCTCTCGCCCTCTTCTGCGCCAGGGAGCCCTTCCACCTCCGCGTCACCCTGAATTCCCCACGGAGCTTCCGCGGGCCACCAATGGGGCGCGACGCGCTGAGCCCGCGGGAGGGAAGGTCGTCTGAATAGGCAGTGCCTCGACGTCCTTCTCGCACGAAAACGACAGCGAGCGGTCGGAGGGGGGGGGCGTGATTCCCGCGCACACGCGCGCCCCCAAAGAGCCGAGAGGAGCTCGAAGCGGGAAGAAAGCCGCCCAGCGACGACCTTGCAATGCCCGCACCTGAGGACAGGTGAGCCCGTGCCAGGGAGCGCTCCTTTGCCACAACGCTCGTCGGTTACACGGGAAGGCGAGGGGGCCGCCCCCTGCCTTTAGGGCGGGATGGCGCCCAGGCGGTGCCCCCCCCTCCCCGCCGCATGTTTCCCGCTGGCGCCCTGCCTGTTTCGCGGGGAGACTCGTCACCCGGAGGCAACCGGGAAAGGCGCGGGCGCAGTTTGCAGGCTGTTTGGGGTTGCGCTGGTTCTGCGCGCCCGGTCCTTCCTTCGCTTCAGAAGTGTCGCCAAAACAATCCTTAGGAAAGCTGGCCGTGTCAGGTGGTGGATTCTGGGAGTTGTAGTCCAGAATCGCTAACTTTCCCAAGTTCTGATATTAGGGTGGCGACGGGAGGCGGGGCGCGGCTGCCCTTGCTGCGATTGCCGAACCTTTTGCAGTTACAAATCTGTGCTGACCTCTTGCAGATTTCCTGGCACTTTTGGCCACCTCATACCTTGATGTGCTTTCTTTGCGAAAGAGAGAGACACCCACCCACCCACCGTTCTCTATTGAAAGGCTCTGCAGTTTATAGATTATTCAGCTAGATGAACAATTAGGGAACAGTTCTATAAATAATTCTAGTAATTGAAGGTACACATGTTCCGTAAATCCTAGCCTGATTTATTTTGTAATAACCATACAGATCTTAGCTTAAAACATGAATATGTGAAATGTGTTGCTGGGTGTGCACCATCAAGTTGGAACTGGTTTATTGTATAGTGAAAACCCGAATGGGTGAGTTAGAGTTCTGGCTAGGGAGCCAGAGGCTGGGAGTTCAATTCCCCAGTGTGCCTCAGGAGAGAAGAGCCAGGGCACCCCTAGAACAAGGGAATGATAAGGCAGTCTCTACCTAGAACATCCTGAGAGTTGCCCTACCTCAGAATTATTTAAGGGCACACAGTTGTTATAATAGGATTTTCAAGTTAAGTGAGATATTTTAGCAATGGTTTTACCAGTTCTAGCCCCCCCCCCCTCCAAGTTTCCAAGGCAGAACTGTGGAATCAGAGCCAGGTGTCCTGGGTTCTAGTCTATTACTCTATCCACTACACCAGATACCTATATTTGTGAAGTGTGTGTGTATGTGTGAAAGTAATAATGATACACAAAAGTGTCTCTGTGGGCAGAGTTTCTTTGCTTCATTTCTGAACAGAGTGTTGCAAGTTGAAACAGGAGACAAATCACTTTAGTACTTTTTTGCCACCTGTCTGGGCTTTGTGCAGATAGAAAAAGTTCACAATTCTCCTTTCTTATCAAAGAGAAGTATATGTTTCAGTTACAGATATGCCTCACTCATTCATCATGGGGCCCTAATGAAAGGAGAGGTAACATTTCAAAACGTGGAAAAATGTCTTTTATTCTAGAGATGTGAAGAATTCTTGAAAAATTCCCCATACTGTAGTTGGAAATTTTCAATGTCTCACCATGTTTTGGGTGTTTAGCCTGTCTTCCATTTTGATCTGCCATCTTCCATTTTGTTTGGTTAAGCAAAATTGCTTCGTGTTCTCATGGTTCTGAGATAGAGCAAAGGACGGTCAAGCTCCTGTTTTGAGAAACGAAGGGAGACGGAGATAAGGCGGTTGTGCTTATCAAATGTTGCTAATGAGCTTGTTTATATCTCAACTGTGCATACCTGAGCGTATCATGGTGAGACATTGGACAAGGAGTAGTTCATATGCTGTATTGCTGTTCAAAGTACTGTATAACAAAGTACATAATGTATTACCCAGCTGCAACTTATTAGTGTACACATCAAAAAATGTATAAAGATGGTTTGCTTCATTCAGTGGGGGTTCAGACTTCTTGCACTGACTTGTGAGCCACACTGTCGTCTGTTCCAACTTTTGGGTGCCTGAGCAAGTTACTCAACTAGCTTGTCTCCTCGTAAGTGAGCCTGGAGTTTGTCTGTCATTTCCTCGGGATCCTTTCAAATCCTGCTTTCTCCACGGCCGGGGGATACACCACGCCAAGACATTTTGCTGAGACTTCCCCCAACACTAGCAAAATTACTTGGCTCTCCTTTTGAAAACTAGCCCCTGGTCTGGTTTTCAATATATGTACTTTTTCTTTTTCACCTCTTTTTTTGTGCAAGAAGCTGCCAAAATCTGCACAACCCAATGCCCTTCAAAGAAAGTCATATGTAGAAACATGCCATTTTGTGTAGGAATTTTAAGAATTCTGTGCTGATTGGTATTTCTTCTGGAAAAAGAAAACAAAACAGCATCCAAGAAACTGCAGAATTTTTCAAACAAACCCACATACATATTTTGTACAGCGAAATCTTAGTTTCTTACTGAGAACAAGAATCCTGACAGGTTTCAGCCAATTAATTATTTTGTGTTCCTCCTTTTTAAAAAGTAGAATGGAATAGTAGTAGTAGTAGTAGTAGTAGTAGTAGTAGTAGTAGTAGTAATAGTAGTAGTAATAGTAGTTGTTATTATTATTATTATTATTGTTGTTATTGTTATTGTTATTGTTATTGTTATTATTATTATTATTATTATTATTATTATTATTATTATTATTATTATTATTATTATTATTAACACCAGGCACAGTCAACATAAAAACATTGATTGGTATTATATACTGTACTGTAACAGATACAACTTTTAACGAAAAATTTAAGTATTTGTTAAATATTGCCAGAGTATGTATGTTGTCCCTAATACTGCCATTTTTTGTAGCTCTGATGGTGTGATTTCTGAGATCTACAACTGCTTATAGTACTGTGTGCAATTTCTTGATACTACTACTATTATTATTGTGGTTATGGTGATGAAAATGGAAAACAACAGAAACAAAAATTGAGTGTAAGAAACAACAATTTGAAGATAAATTAAAAAGCGGGAAAAATAAACTACTGCATAGAAAATATTTGAGAAATTGTAATGGAAAACATGATAATAATTTAACGGGCTTCGCTAAAAGTGAAGGCTTGATCTTTGCTGCATAAGAATAAGCCCTCCAAACAAATGTCATTAAAGCTAAAATTCAATGAATTAGTCTAAACAGCAAAGGTCGAATCTGCCAAGAAAAAGATGAAACTATGTCACACCTCATCTATGAATGCTCAAAGTTTGTGCAGACAGACTACAAAACTAGACACAATAGGGTTGTAAAATTAGTACAGTACACTGATCATTATGTAGAAAATATAATCTGCCAGCATCTAAGAATCTGTGGGAACATCAGGTAAATAAGGTATCAGACAACATCTAAGTTGAGGTCTTGTGAGACTTTATGATTCAGATGGACAAACTCTATTGGGCATAATACATTAGACATAAAAGTACAATAGACTGAAGAAATACTGTATCTGAATAATTGGCGTTACAATTCCAGGGGATGCCAGAGCTGAAGATAAAGAATTGAAAAAAATTAACAAAAATACAGAGACCTGGCAATAGAAATAACTTGTGGATGAAACATATTTCAGCGATCCTCAAAATAATTGGGGCATTGAGAACAATGCTGTGGAATTTTATAAAATGTTATAATCAACTGCAGATCTCTGAAGTAACATCATTAGAGCTGCCAGAAATGGCTATATTAGGAACCGCATAATTGTTACACCAATATTTGTAACTGGTAGTTTTTTGCTTAAAACTTGTATCTGTTATATAGCACCAATCAAAGACTGTGTTTTGCATTGATGTATAATTATAATATTTTCATAACACAGAAAGCTAGAGTGTGTCAATGATTATAACTGTTTTACATGTGCCATTAAATTAAAGCAGTCTCTGGCAATTAGTGTCTAAATGTCATTAAGTAGCGACTGATGATTTACTGGGAGGCTGAAGGTCTAATAGGTACTTGTCACTCTCTGACCCCATGGGGAAAGTTTTGTCTGAGAGTACCACTCAATGAATTTCATCAGATGTTTCCAGTTCATTGTTTTCTCTTTTTCATATCAGATGAGGCAGGTGTTAAAAGAACCTATGGAGCATACTACCTTCCTATTCCTCCTCTGTGAAGATGTATAACCCCTAATGAGAGGAGGATTAGGTTAGATTGGGCATCCTTCAATCTCAAGAGACTGTGGTAACATGCTCTGAATAGAGGACTTGGAACAGCATCTAGTGTGGCTGAGAAGGAGGAAGAGTTTCAAGAAACAATAATCCAGGTAAGGTTCAGCTAGTTGTGCTTCAATTTAGAATCAAGGCACTTAGTGAATGACTTGATTTCAGTTATGCACATATTGTGTGCTTATGCATATGTGCAGATCTGGGAAAAATTTCCATATAAGGTCTTTATTGTGCAGTGATCCTGCCTCATTCATGGTCATCTATGCGAGTCCACATAATGGCATCTTACATTTTTTATTCTCTCTTGTTCTCCACAGCACTTTCCATTTCTTTCCCTCCTCATAGAAAAGGTTTGAAGGAGTATTGCTGCACAATGGCTTTTTATTGATAGCAGCACCTCCATCTGGAAACAAAAATCTGCTGGGAACAGGGCGCATAAAGAACAATGATTTTTTAAAAATCAATTTGATTTATGGTAAATCACAATTTAATTTTTTAAAATTTACATTGTAAAAAAAAATCCTATTTTTAAATTTACATTGTGATCTACCCTACCTGGGAATCTGAGCAAAATGCTTTTCCTTCACAAAGAAGCAGTTGCAGCCCATCTTTGCAGATGTACTAGTGTGGGAGGGAGAGAGATTTAAAAGCGGGAGTGAAGCCAAAATATGTTCCTGGAATTCTTTTTCAGAGGAAGGAAACTTTTGTTGTAAACACTCAAGAGGCACTAGCAGGGAAAACGTGTTCAACTTTCACTCTCTGCATTCCTGGTTTAGAGTGTTAGTTTCAATAAAGCCATGTAAATATAAATAGTTCATAAGAATTGATACATCTACAAAATACAAACATCTCCAACCAGATGATAAAATAAGACAGCATATAGTCTTTGAGGGAGACTACACCCCAGAGTATTTTACAACTCAAACTTCTTCAACCAGAAAATAAAATAATTTTTCCTCCTTGAATTCCTTCTTATTAAGATCAGTATTTTACAGTGGAAGTGAAGAGATAAATTTTAAAGAGGAATATACATCCTGACCAATGGAGAAATTCAGATGTATAAAATTCAAACAGAAAAACAAACTGATGTAAGAATTGTATATAAAAATGGCCAAAAGTATTTCTGTCTTTTCCATTGCTAATATTTTTAAAAGAATGAGACATTTTCTCCATATGAAACCTTAAATGGTTACAACTCTTGCTTGTTCTTTAATGAAAGGCTTTTTGCATTGTGTTTGTGTGGGTGTTTGTGTATGAAAGAGAGAGGAAGGGAGGGAGATTCAAAAGTGGGAGTGAAGCCAAAATATATTCCAGGAATTATTTTTCAGAGGAAGGCAAGTTTTGTTACAAACAGTCTGAGTTTCAGAGGCACAAGCAGAGAAATAAAGCCTGAAATAACATATTAGGATTCTTTAATTTATGGAAAGAAGTGAAACTACTAAGGTTTTCTGTTTTTCAGTCTCATATGCTCACGCATTTTTTCTTTAAATTCCTGATTTTATTTTATTTTGCAGTGCTTTTATGAAAATGAATTTTGCCACTGAGGTGCTATCTTTTTCAGAGGTCACCATCGCCTTCTTTACGGTGGCATTTATTTTAATTTTTGTACAAGTGTTAATGAAGAACAGGCAACCACGCCCTCCAGGACCTTGGTCATGGCCAATTTTGGGAAATCTTCTCCAGCTTGGAGAGTATCCATATGTTTACTTTGACCAGCTCAGGAAGAAATATGGAGACATTTTTCAAATAAAGCTGGGCATGGTCCCCGTTGTGGTGGTGAATGGCCAGGATGCCGTGAAACAAGTGCTGCTGAGAGACGGAGAGAGTTTTGGTGGCCGTCCTGATATGCACACTTTTTCCTTTTTTGCCAATGGAGAGAGTTTGTCATTTTCTGTGAAATACGGAGAGAGCTGGAAGCTTCAGAAGAAGATTGCCAACAAAGCTTTAAGATCCTTTGCAAAATCCGAAGCCATGTCTTCCACTTGCTCTTGTCTTCTTGAAGAGCATGTTTGTGCCGAAGCTTCAGAATTGGTAAAAATCTTTGTGGAGCTCTCAAAGAAGGGTGGCTTTGACCCTACTGCTGTGACTACCTGTAGTGTTGCCAATGTGGTTTGTGCTCTTTGTTTTGGCAAGAGGTACAACCATCATGACGAGGAATTTCTGAGCGTGCTAAAATTCAATGACGATTTTGTGAAAGCCTCAGGAGTCTTCAATCCAGCGGATTTCATACCATGCCTTCGCTACCTTCCCCTCCCAGCTGCAAAAGCTGCTCGTGAGTTTTATGGAAAATTCAATGACTTTGTTGAACATCGTGTGAAAGACCATTTTGTCACATATGATGAGGTAAGCTTTTGACAGAGGAAATTGAAAACTTGTGAAGGGTTCGTGCAGGTGGTACGATGTCAATAGAACCACTGTGGGGTTCTGATCAACTCTTAGCTGTGAATGCTCAGGTCTGCTCTCAGTTGGGAGCTGTGGCCAGGGAGGCAGGAGGCAGGTTCCACCATGACTTAAAAAGGTGCCAAGACCTTTGCTTAAAAATATCCCTTCTGAATCCCACCATATTGGATGATTATTGGCCAGTTCCTAACGTTCTGTTTTAGGACAAGTTAATTCAGTGGTAACCTCTCTGTTCCAGGAGTTCCTGAATGGAAGAGATTATCTAGATCCATTTCAGTCAGTCTTCAGGCTTGCCTGTGGGATGGAGGCGATTTTGTTTACCTGGACGGATTACCTATTTTGGGAGCTGTTCTGGGGGTGCAAGTAATATTGAGTCAGCTGGACCTCTTGGTGGTTTCTAATAGCATTGACTTTGGTATCCTGCTAGGCTCACTCTGTGGGGTTAGGACTTGGATGCACTGTTTTGGCAGGTCTTCAATCCTATCTCAAAGAGCAAGCTTGGAAGATGGTGCTGGAGACTCCTGCTTGATATTGGTCTTTGGGGTCCCACTGAGTTCAGTTCTTTTGCCTACATTTAGCACATACATGAAACTACTGAGGAAGGTTGTGGGGGGGGCTGTAGAATTTTGATGCCAGCAATATGATAGTTCTGTCTGTACTAACTCCAAGAGAGCTTTGGATTCTAAACCAGTGTCTAATGTTTGTGATGGATTGCATGAAGGCAAGGGGATTCAAACTTAATCCAGATGAGACACAAGCACTGTTGGTCAGTTAAAAGAAAAATCGGGATGGGAATTCAACCTGAGTGGAATGAAATTGCATTCCACATGAAGGTTCAGGTTCACAGTTTCAGTATTGGATTCAGCACGAAGCTTCAATGTCCAAATTTTACTGGGACAGAGAATATGTTTTCACAGATGAAGCTACCACGCCAGCTCTACCTGGCCATGGAGGTGTCTGGTGTGACTAAGGTGACACGTGCCCTAGTTGAAATTACTGGAGCATTCTCTATGCAGGACTGTCTTTGAATGTGTTCAGAAAGATATGAGCTTTTTAAAGTTTTAGTGGAGTGATCCTTCTGTTGGTCTTGACACCCTCACAGGCATATCTGGTGAGGACATTGGTAAGGTTGTGCATGCTCTGAAACTCCCTTCCATGTGAGATGAAGGTAGTTCCCACCCTTCTGCCCTTATACTGCAGACAGAGACCTGTGTTTTCAGGCTGGCCTTTGACAAATGAGTAGAATGAAAAGAAAGACGTTTTCAATGGGGGATGCTGTATTATTTTTTTACGCTCTATGAGTAGTGTAAAGTAATTGTAGTTAACAGTCTCCTCACATTAATATATGTGCATTTCCATTTTAATATCATAACCGATTCTGCTTTTCTTGCACATGTTTTATCATTTTGTGAACTGCCTTTGGTCCCTGTGTTGGACGAAGAGTGGGATATGAATAAAATAAAGAAACAAAAAAATGCAGAATATCCAATAACTGTTGTATTTCTTGAGAGAATAAATTGTTGAGTCATAGTTGCATCTTATGGTACATTCAGCCATGCAAAATTTCAAATGAATGTGTGTGGGGAGATTTTTTTTTCAAGAGGAGCTGGATATTTGGAGTGTTGTGGATCAGGTTTTAAGATTATGTGATCTTCAAGGGAAGGGGAGGAAAACCTTATAGCTGATATATCTGACCCATAGATTTTGCTTTTAAGTTTCAAGCCAGCATTTCCTGCAGCAACCATGTGGTGCTGCCTGCATCAATATCTTACTCTCAAGGAACTGGATTGGATCCAGCATGTTTCATTGATGGGTGAGATCCTTCTGTTTATGAGTGTGAGTATTCTGACTCACTGGGGTAATCTCTTCCATGGAATTGAGGAAAGTAATCTTAATCACTTGATCCTGTTGCCCTTGCAAATATACTTTGGAGGCAGAGATGTAAAATTTCTTTTTCTTTTCTGGAAAAACAATAAGCTTAGAAGTGTTTTCATTTTATGTTTTCTTATTATATGAATTCTGGTGTTCTTTAGAGACGTAAACTTTCTGATCATTTCCATTTTTTTCTGGGAAAAACCTATGTTTCTTTCCTTGTTTTCTGGGAAAAAATATGGAAATTTTTGGAAATTTTTCATCTCTATCCGGAGGACAGGGTTGATTCTTTGAGGAGAGGAAAAGCTGGATCCGGCCCATAAAGCTTCAGTGTAGAAGCAAGATCCTGTTGCAAGGTCCAGTTAAACTACAAAGTGTCTGACTCAGGAAGAATATAAAGGATAATCTTTGTTAAAGGAGCTTCCTCTAAAATAGATTTATCTCTTTCTCTCTGAGAACCCAATTAAACTGCTTCCTAGGGAGAGAGCAGGAAGAGGACTGATGGTGAAGGAAGTGGAAGTCATCTTTGAAAGGATAATTCTACAAGCATGAAACTCCCAGGTTGCACCAATTGATGGTTCCACCACTGCTGTCCTTTGTAGACTTTATTGATTGTGTAAAGTGTTGTTGTGGTGTCATTTTCATCCCAACAACTCGTAGACCATAGGATTATTGTCCAGGGACCGTATCACTGCTTTTAACATTTTTCATCACTAATGTGTCCCATTCCCCCCCTCCCCCAAAAATTCTCTCTATACATTCCAAAGACTTGCACTTGACTAGGTTGAAAAAAGGAATACAATCAATTCTGTACGTCATGATGTAGAATTGAAGCAGTTGCTGCTTGCCAAGCGTGTAACATTAGAAATGGTCAGATGAAAATAACATCAAGGGGTTTCTTTGTTTCCTTTAGAATCACTTCAGAGACATCACAGATGCCCTGATTAGTGTTAGCAATGAAAATAGAGCAAATGGGGAAACCACAGCCTTATCTAATGAGAAAATAGTGATTACTGTGAACGACATATTTGGAGCTGGTAAGTGTGAAGTATTTCTACTGCTATTGGACGCTGTTATCATGTTCCTTAAGTTACAGTTGCTTATTCCAGAATTGCAATTAAAAAGAAGCATGACTGATACACATTGCTTCTTCTCCAGTACCTTCCAGCTGCTTGCGTGTCCAGTGTGAAGTAGTGGTTAGAGCATTAGACTAAGACTTGGGAGATTCTACATTTAGTCTCTATTGAGTCACAAACTTCAATGTGACCTTGAGCCAGTCTCGTTCTTGGCTTGTATTTTACAGGGTGTTGTGAGGAAGAGTAATGGAATCTGCCCTGCACTTATTGAAGGAAGAGCCAAATATAAACATAACTAATAAATATGGAAATTTGGGGATGAAGACAGGTACAGAATATGGCACTGGAATTGTTCATCACTGAGGCACAACTTGGTAGAATTCGAGGGCGCGAAAATGGCTGCCGGCCATCCCGGAACATCGCTGAACGGTGAGTAAAGGAGCCGATTGGAACGCATTAAACAATGTTTAATGCGTTCCAGTGGCTTTTCCTGCCCCGTTCAGTGATGTTTCTCTATAGCGAAGGTTAATCCGGAACAGATTAACCTCGCTATGCGAGGCACCACTGTAGTGGTTAGAGCATTAGACTAGGACTTGGGAGATTCTACATTTAGTCTCCATTGAGTCACAAACTTCAATGTGACCTTGAGCCAGTCTCGTTCTTGGCTTGTTTGTTTTTTACAGGGTGTTGTGAGGAAGAGTCATGGAATCTGCCCTGCACTTATTGAAGGAAGAGCCAAATATAAACATAACTAATAAATATGGAAATTTGGGGATGAAGAATATGTCACTGGAATTGTTCATCACTGAGGCACAGCTTGGTAGAATTTATGTTAACTTTCAACATGAAAAACACTGTAAAGCCCAGGAGCTGAACTGCAGGACTGGCTGACAAATCGGATTCCATCCCTAGTGCAGGAATAACAGTCATAAAGAGATAAACGTCTCCTGTGCATAGAACTTAATTGGTAGCTCTGATTTCTGCATTTTAGAAATGCCCTAACTGTGTGTGTGGATCTTTTAGTCAGTAAGTATCCTAATGGTCCATGTATTTTGGCAGGTTTTGGGACTGTGTCAACATGTTTGCAATGGGTATTTCTGTATTTGATGAGCAAACCAGAGGTTCAAACAAAAATTCAAGAAGAAATTGGTAACGTTGTTCATGAAATTATTTTTGTTTTAAGAATTGAAAGAAGGTTGATGTGGTTATTTGCAAAGCATGTCGTGTTAACCACATTCTGTATTCCTCTAGGAGAAAAAATTGGACTAAAACCACCCAGATTTGAGGATCGAAAGGAACTGCATTATACAGAAGCTTTTATCAATGAAGTCTTCAGGCACAGCTCCTTTATACCATTCACCATTCCTCACTGGTAAGAAAGTGGGGAATGACTTTATTTTAAGTATACCTAAACTCTGCTAGTCAGCCCTCTTTAGTATTTTGAATCAGGAGGATACAACCTGTAACTGGTGGAGATTGCTTCTTTCCTGCCATTTGCACCAGTAGAGAAACAGCAGGCTCTGCAGTGGTTGCTGGGTTGTGTGAAAGACTTACATGCAGAAACTGATACTGTGTTTCACCATCCCAGGATTCCTTGAATGTAATCTGACTGACCAATCAGTCAGTTTGGTCTGACTTGGAGATGGGCTGGTTTGTTCCCTTTTCTAGCAACTGTATGACATGTAGGCTGTTCTGAACCAACTCATCCCTGATCCACGCCTATCTGGACAATTTTGGTTTCCTATTGGGGCTAAATTTTTAAAATTATTTTTATTATTTTGATACAGGTAGGAAAGCTTCCTCCTGCTCCCTCATGGAGGGGGGGAGAGTGTACAAAGGTGTGGTTGTTGTTGTTGTTGTTGTTGTTGCTGCTGCTGCTGCTGCTGCTGCTGTTGCTGTTTTATGGTTTTCAATGCATTCCTATGGGAAATGCAGATTTGACCTGTGAACTTTTTGACTTGAGAACCGCCTTCCAATACGGATTAAGTTCTCAAGTCAAGACCCTACTGTAATTTGAATCAGGAGGATACAACCTGTAACCGGTGGAGATTGCTTCTTTCGTGCCATTTGTACCAGTAGAGAAACAGCAGGCTCTGCAGTGGTTGCTGGGTTGTGTGAAAGACTTATATTTCCATACAGAAACTAATACTGTGTTTCACCATCCCAGGATTCTTTGAATGTAATCTGACTGACCAATTAGTCAGTTTGGTTTGACTTGGAGATGGGCTGGTTTGTTCCCTTTTCTAGCAACTGTATGACATGTAGGCTGTTCTGAACCAACTCATCCCTGATCCACGCCTATCTGGACAATTTTGGTTTCCTATTGGGGCTAAATTTTTAAAATTATTTTTATTATTTTGATACAGGTAGGAAAGCTTCCTCCTGCTCCCTCATGGAGGGGGAGAGAGTGTACAAAGGTGTGTTTGTTGTTATTGTTGCTGTTGCTGTTTTAAAGGAACTTACAAAGTAGCCCTAATGCCATTTAGGGAAAAAAATTAAAATGTGCAAGCTTTCTCCAACTCTTTATGGAGGAGAGGACAAGGGGGGATCTTTTTTGTTATGATTATTTTTTAAAATTTCTATTTATAGGGAGGAGGGGCCAAATACAGTGTATTTTGCAGCCACAGAAATGCTCAAACTTTGCATTTGGATTCTGGGATCTACCCAAATAACACAGCACACCGCAAAGCAACTATTTAACGTAATTTCTAGTCTGATCCAGGCTGAGATAATTTGGCCATCTAGTCGCATCCTGAGTCACTGGTCTTAAAGTGGTGATGGTAGAGGAAAAAAGGAATTATAACAGGAAAGATTTGAAGTGCATTACATAAATTCAAATGTGCATATAAAGGTTTAAATAAACCTGGGAGCTTTTTAGACAATAAGGCAGGATGAGCCTTTCAGCCTGGAAGACTTCCATTTTAATGTCCATTTTAAAACAAATTTTAGGGTGTCCTTTGACATTTGTTCAGGGGTTTTTTTGTTTTTGTTTTTTTGCATGGTCTGTTTATTCTGTTTACCAAATGGGAGGATATAAAGCCGTTATACAGATCCCCAATCACCACTAAATTGACTGAACTAAAATGATGTTTTTCAGTGCCACAAAGGATGCCATTCTCAACGGGTACTATATTCCACAGAACACTTGTATCTTCATTAATATGTACCAAGTAAATCACGATGAGTAAGTACTAGAGGAACTTTGCTTAAAGAGCTATTCAAGTGGCTATAGTAATAGTCAAGATTCCCTGTCTCCCTGCCTTCTCAGAAACCTGCTATATACTTGATGCCACAGTTGTGTTATGTTATACTGAAGCTCATGTGGAGGTGAAATGTATGACCCAGCTGATTGGTCTCTTCTGGAGGCCAAAATTCTACCTGAAGGTCAAAACACTGAAAAGGGAGGAGAAGGAGAACTGCTTGCCATCCCAAGAGGTGGCTTGGCTGTCACACACTTTGCAATCTAGCCAAAATGTCCTCAAAAGAATTCAGTTCCCAATGCAGTGCATTTCTGGGTTGGGGAATATGGTTGTTCTACTTTAGGCTTTGCTTTAAAGGGAAGAAAGAAGGAAGGAAATGCTTTGGACCATCTCATAAGATGTACATTTCCTACCCCCAGTGCACCTGAACGTGCAGTGATGTTCAAGTGTATAGCACTGAAAGTCACCAACATTCTCCCCCACCCATCCTCACCCTGCAGGGAAGGAACAGTCAAGCCAAAGGAGGGTTTGTGAGAGGGAACACTTCTCCATAATAAGTGAAGTGCCTGTCTATGTGATGGACTGGATACAGGAAGGAAGAGTTAGAAAACGTTGCAGTGACTCTGGGAGAGGTACAATGGCCTTTTGTGTTCAGGACAGTTTGAGACCTGCACTATGTTGGCTTTAGAACTTTTATCTCATTTGAAACTCATTCCAGCAGCCATGAGAAAAACAATATGTTTTCCAATAGAAAGTGGGATTCTTTGAATTCTTTTAAAAAAAATCTGCAGGAGCTATTCCTTCATTAAGCAAGTGTCACCAACTTAGGTGAAGTACACTATTGAAAAAAAAAACATGAGAATGAGCAGAACGGTTCTTTTGGCTACAGACATTCTTCAATGAATAATAAACTCAAAACCTTTTAAAACAGGGCTTCTTTTCGCTCTCTTTTGTTACAGGAATTTGTGGGTAAACCCTTACGTGTTTAAACCAGAGAGATTTCTGGATGAAAATGGAAAACTCAACAAAAGCATGGCTGAGAAGGTTTTGATATTTGGAATGGGAATACGAAAATGTCTGGGGGAGGAAGTTGCTCGCAATGAGATTTTTATTATTCTCACCACCATCTTGCAACAGCTGAGAGTGGAGAAACCTCCTGAAGATCATCTAGATTTCACTCCAATTTATGGGCTCACAATGTTACCCAAACCATACCGAATTCAAGTATCGCTGCGCACTTGAGTTGGGGGATCATATAATGAGGGAACAGCTTTCCTTCAGCGATTCTGAAGGATTCTGAGATTCTTGGGATTGGGCAAGATGATGTAATGTAAATCAATCCAGGATCCTTGTGGGATTCTTGTAGAAAATACCCTTAAGAAGAGTTTATTACAAAATATATTAAAGAGGATCAAAATGGGTTTTTAAAGGGAAGACAAATGGAAAATTTAAGTAGGAAGGTTTTGAATATTATATATAATATAGAAAAAGATAAATCAAAGGCAGATATTTTATCAGATATTTTTAAGGCATTTGATTGTGTAGAATGGCCAACATTAAAGGTTCTTTTAAAGGGTTGGGGTTTGGGAAAGAAATTTAGGGTGATAATAGATCAATTATATTTGGAGAATACTTCTGCAGTAATTGTTAGTGATGGGATGACAGAGCAGATAGCTCTAAGCCGAGGCACCAGACAAGGTTGCCCTCTTTCTCCAGTTCTGTTTTGTTTGATTATTGAAATCCTAGCAAATGTAATAAGGAATGATGATTTAATTGAAGGTATGGGTGAAAATAATAAAATAAAGATTAAGTTATTTGCTGATGATTCCTTATTGACAGTGAAAAACCCATTGGAAAGTATAGATAGAATTAAAGTTCATTTGGAAAAATAACTGGACTATGCGTAAATTGGCAAAAATCTGAAATAATGTTGTTTAATCATAATAAATTAGAAAAAGAAAGGTTTGGTGATAAATATGATTTTAAGATATGTAAATCAGTTAAGTATTTAGGTATAGATTTAGTAAAAGTTTATTGGGGGAATTATATATAACCCAGAAAGGTTAATTTGGTGGAAAATGGAATCATCAGAATTACAGGTAGATATTGAAAAATATCTATTTGGCATGATTAAGAATTATAAAATAAGTGAAATTAATAACCCATTTTTAAAGACAATGTTAAACATCTGGTATAACTACTCAATTATAACTACTCAAATTGTAGTTATAATTGTAAATAACTTAAATTTTTTATGATTTTATATATGTATATAATGCCATGTTTTAATTGTAAGCCGCCCCGTGTAGACATTACCGTATTTTTCGCTCCATAAGGCGCTCCTGAACTTAAGACGCACCTAATTTTTAGAGGAGGAAAACTGGAAAAAAATATTCTGAACCAAATAGTGTAATAAAATATTTAATAAACTATAACAGAATAACATTTGAACCATGTAAAGTGAACAGCAGTCAACAGTGGCATTAAGAACCATTACCACTGTCATTAATAAATGGAGAGACTTAAAGCTTTGTGTACTCTAGTTTTCTGGAAACCCCAAGAACTCACCATCACTAGAGTCAGAATTTAGGAAGCTCATTTGCTCACAATCACTGACATCACTTTCTTCGCTGTCTTCATATAAGATATCGTCCTCAGTTCCATCTAAGGCATTGCTAATGCCACATTTTTTGAATGACTGTACAACAATCTCCTCCTTCACTGAGTCCCAAGATGTTTTCACCCATTCACAAACTTGAGTGATGGTGGGCCTCTTCATTCGTCCAGTAGGTGTCAGATCATGATTACCAGCAGTCATCCATTTGTTCCACTCTTCTCTCATTAAGACCTTAAATGGCTTGTTGATGGAAACATC